TATATATATATATATATTATACAGGGTAAGTCATTTTAATTATTTTAAATATTTTTAAATATCTCTATTATTTTAAATATAAATTTAAAATAATAGAGATAAAATAAAAAAATAGTCGACAAGTACACATCTTGTCTTTTATGTAATATCTAGATTATTAACGTTAAGGAGACTCTACCAACAAATCATGACAAGATAATTGATTTTGTCGCAAACTTTTGTGCAAAAAAAGATATAAATATTTTATCACCTGGACAGTTTATGACGCCCGGATTTATCGATTGCCATACTCATGCAAACCAGTTTCCGAATCTTGGACTTGGTTATAACAAACCTCTGTTAGGCTGGCTGGAGACCTATACCTATCCGCTGGAGAAAAAGTTTATTGATACAAAATATGCAGAGACAGTGTTTGAGGCAGTTGTGGTACTTGAAACAATTCTATTCTAATAATACTATAATAAAATATGTAATTATTTCAGACATTCTTATAAGTTTTTTCGTTATTGTTCAGTATATGTGTTATTGCAGAAACGGACTATCGAAATGGGCACAACAACGGCGTGCTACTTTGCATCTTTATATACCAAGGCGTCTGTAATCCTCGCGAAAAAAACTGTGGAGCTGGGTCAACGAGCTTTCATCGGGAAAGTGAACATGAGCACTCCGCGTGACGATGAATATTACGAAAGCGTCCAGGAGTCAATTAAGAACACTCAGGCTTTCATAGAGTCTATTGAGCAAATAAAGGTAAATGCAAAACTCGTATTTTATTGCCTGCGATGTCGCGACAAGATAATAGCTATCTTCAATTATTAGATAGGCAGCGCAAAAAATTATTACACTGCTCCAAACTTTTTGCAGAATCCACTTGTGAAGCCGATCGTCACGCCTAGATTCGCGTTGAGCTGCGACATGGAATTAATGAAAAAGCTGGCAGAGATCGCCAAGGACAAAGACTTGCATATACAGGTATTTTATTCGACTCGCGTAACATGTGCCAAGCAATGTATACTCGCTCACTAAAAGGTTGCGACACTTTTTTTTTTATAGGTTTCTAATTTATATTTAATATACGTAATATATATTTTATAGATAACTAATATTTTGCAAATGCAAACCACGATGTACTATCTTTAGTTTAAAAGCAGTATAACACCAATCGTGGTCCGCATTTGCAAAATATTAATGCGTTTTGAAACCTATAAAAAAGAAAGCGTCGCAACCTTTTAGTGAGCGAGTGTACAATTAATGCTGTGTTATATATAAATACAAAGTATTCTTTATTCTTTATAGACTCATATCTCTGAAAATGAGGACGAGGTAGAAAAAGTGAAACAAACTTTTTCAAATACGTATGCGGCTGTGTATAATTCTGCTGGTCTTCTTACTAGAAAGGTAAAATATTTCATTTTGTTGATCTGTCAATCTATTAAATATCAGATATCGTCATATCAAGTATCAGACATCGTATCTAATAAAAATAATCTAATCTATTAAATATTATTGAAACAACCGACATCTTGTTGTCTCGCATAGAAATATATAGTTATCTTGAAATAATATGTTAGAGTAATATGTAACGTGTATATCTAATTGTTTTACAGACAATTTTAGCGCACGGAATCTATCTCGATGACAGCGAACTTGCTCTTCTCAAAAAAAAAGGAACAGCTGTAATTCACTGTCCCTCTTCAAATACAAATCTGAAAAGCGGCCTTTGCGACGTGCAGAAATTAAAGACTGAGGGTATCACGGTCGGACTTGGAACAGGTGCCACAAGAATCTCCTTATAGCAATTTTATGATTTGACTCTTTTCTATTTATTATTGTACATATATCGGCTTTCTATTGAAATTATTGATATCGAAACTTTGAATATTTAATTTAATTATCATATACAACATAATGTTCTTCATATTAAAGATAGATGTGTCTTTTGCTAGATGTTTCTGGTGGAGCCAGTTACAGTATGTTGAACGAGATGAGATCGGCTTTACAAGTATCAAATTCTATATTTTTTATGAAAAAAAAAGAAAAAGAAAAATATACGCCGCTTAATTACAAACAAGTCTTCTATATGGCAACATTGGGAGGTGCCGAAGGTAAAATTGGTCGTTATATATTGGCAAGGAATGCTCTTTATATCCATATATAAAAATTTACAATTTGCATTAATATATTATGTTTAGCACTCTCAATTGACAACGAAGTCGGTAATTTGACGAAAGGCAAACAATTCGATGCTCTCATAATTGAAATGGATGCAAAAGACAACTTGTTGAATAATTTGAAAATATTTGACAAGCTTAAGGAGGACTTTCAGAGATTTATATACACCGGTGATGATCGTAATATAGTATCAGTATATGTAAATGGTAATAAAGTTAAATAAGAAGCTTTCCTACCGTTTACATATAAAATATTTTTAAATATTTTTACAATGTTTTATAATTTGTCAAGTAAAAAATTTTTATCTTCGTACAGTGTTGTCTGTATAATTTCATATGCTATAACAAATTAATAAATTGTGCAATGTATAAGTCGGTTGAATAAAGTTTTAACTTTTCTTTCAGAAACATCATTTTTGACTATATGAAATTAATTATGTTTTCATTTTTATAATATTTTGGTATAGTAGATTATTTCACGGAATCTTTGTTAACAAAAACGCTAAATATTTCATTTATTTTTGTTCCTTCTATTAAATATTTTTTTGTTTACGATTATCTTAAGTAGTATATTTTTATTTCATGTCTACTTGAATTTTAGTCGACTTATAATTGATAAACGCACCATTTTTTAAAACGTCGGATGTTACGTCATGTAGAATGCGCCATCTCGAAGGTATATTAATTTCCTGTTTTCACCTCATGTTCCGGTTCTTCTACGATCTTTGAGGTCAAGGAAAGGGAAAGAGGTGATGTGAGTACATTTCGGAAAGTTCAAAATTTCAATAATTTTTATATGTATTGTTCGCTCGTTTACATATATGAGTCGTTAAAAATATAGACAGTCTTATATATGAATAATTTCGTTGTATTGCTTAATATTTAATCGAACGCCGCACCGTTATGTTGACGTCGTATGGTTAGGTTTACCATTGCAAGTTTCAATGTAAAAGATATTTTATTTGTATTTTTCGCTCGTTTATATGAGTCATTAAAAATATGGATAGTCTTATATATGAATAATTTCGTTGTATTGCTTAATATTTTGTCGAACGTCGCGCGGTTATGTTGGCGTCGTATTAGGTTAGGTTTACCATTGCAAGTTTCAATAATAAAAGATATATGCATACTTAATAGTCAACTTTCAACAAGATTAAAATTTGGGATACAGATTTATATCTTTGGTGCGATCAAATTTATCGTGAGTTGTGTTTAATCGCACAGAATGGCGGACGCTGCTCCAGCCGCACGCGGTGGCTTTCGTGGAGGTTTTGGCTCTCGCGGAGCGGGAGGCGATCGCGGTGGTCTGCGGGGTCGAGGAGGCAGAGGCAGAGGCAGAGGACGCGGCCGTGGACGCGGCAAGGAGGACAGCAAAGAGTGGGTTCCGGTCACCAAGCTCGGTCGTCTGGTCAGAGACGGCAAGATACAGTCCCTCGAGCACATCTACCTGTTCTCCCTGCCCATCAAGGAGTACGAGATCATTGACAAGTTCCTTGGACCGGACCTAAAAGACGAGGTCCTGAAAATCATGCCGGTGCAGAAGCAGACACGAGCCGGTCAACGTACGCGTTTCAAGGTAAACTTTCCTTTTTTTAGACATAATTATAAAACAATGTATTGATTAAATAGAATGTAAAGATTTTTACGAGACAAGAGTATCTGAAAATGAAACATTTTCTTTTAATAGGCTTTCGTTGCCATCGGAGACAGCAATGGACACATTGGACTGGGAGTGAAGTGCTCCAAGGAGGTAGCCACTGCCATTCGCGGCGCCATCATCCTGGCTAAACTGTCCGTCGTGCCGGTTCGACGTGGTTACTGGGGCAACAAGATCGGCAAGCCGCACACGGTGCCGTGCAAGGTGACGGGCAAGTGCGGCTCCGTGCAGGTGCGCCTGATACCCGCGCCCAGAGGCACCGGCATCGTGTCCGCCCCGGTTCCCAAGAAGCTCCTCCAGATGGCCGGCATCGAGGACTGCTACACCTCGGCCAGGGGCTCGACCTGCACACTCGGCAACTTCGCCAAGGCCACTTACGCCGCGATCGCCAAGACTTACGCGTATCTGACGCCCGACCTGTGGAAGGAGCAGGCTCTGGCTAAGGCGCCGTACCAGGAATTCGCCGACTATCTGTCCAAGACTCATAAGGGTGGCGCGAGAGCGGCCGAAGTTGTCTGAATAAACATCCAGCCCCGTGCGCTTTGAAAAACCGTAAAACGAATCTCTCATTCCCCCCCCCCCATCCCTTGACCGTAAGAACATAACGCTTTTTATTCTTTTATTTTGTCGAACGATATAGAAACTTAGAGAATAGATGCCGAAACTTCGTCCAGTCAATCGTCGTGTATATTATATTACATATTGATGCACGTATGTACGTTACGTTAACGTTAACGTTAACTAATCTATCAGGGCTATTATTACGAATGACCTTGGATTTGATTTGTGTTATGTATGTGTACATACGAATTTAATAGCGTATGGTGATCGTGACGCAGAGAATTGTTCATTTGTTTTCTGTCCCGAAAACCCGGATTCAAATCCGATCAAGAATATCGGATTTTTATTCGATCATCAATACACTATCTCTCGGAAGGCAAACCATCGAGAGTATCCTTGTCAAAACAATTATCATAGATACATAGAACATACGACCAATTTAAGATAAAAAGAGAGGAAAATTAAAATTGTACATTAAGGGCGCAAAGTCTAAGTTTCTTAATAAAAGAAATTAATCGACTTAAGTGCTCTCCGAAGAATAGAACGCATGAAAATAACGAAAATTATTTCTTCAAATAAGTCTGGAAAAGTTACAGTTAGATTTTCGTCATTTTTCTTCCGCTCTGTTCTCCGGAGAGCATTTAAGTTGATCAATTTCTCTTATCAAGAAACTTTGACTTTGCGCCCTTAATATACAATTTTAGTTTTTTTCTCTTTCCACCTCAAGTTGGCCGTACGTTCTATGATGATTGTTGAAATGATGTTTCTGAGAGAGAAATGAAAAATTAAAACTTAATTTTTCTTAAAAAACTTAGACTTTGCGCCCTTAATGTACAATTTTACTTTTTTTCTCTTTCCACCTCAAGTTGGCTGTATGTTTTATGATGATTGTTGAAATGATGTTTCTGAGAGAGAAATGAAAAATTAAAACTTAATTTTTCTTAAGAAACTTAGACTTTACGCTCTTAATGTACAATTTTAATTCTACACTTATTTATGCAATTTCTGAGAGAGAAATGAAACATTAAAACTTCATTTTTCTTAAGAAACTTTGCGCTCTTAACGTACAATTTTAATTCTACACTTATTTATGCAATTAAAAAAAAATTAATATATTGGTAATCCGAAGGGGAAAACCACGCCGTTACGTGGCGTCCGCGGGATCGCGCGTGGTGGCCTTGTGCTTCTCGTAGGCCTTGTCGAACGTCTCGATCGTGTGGTCGCACATCTTCTCGAGATCCTGGAGGCCCCGTTTCAGTACCTCGATCACATTTTCGCCGGTTGTTTGGATGTTCAGGTGTACTCGGTTCTCCGCGGGATGCGGCACGGTGTGGCCGCATATCTTCACGCCCGGACTGCAGGAGAGATCGAGAGATGTTAGAAAGAAAAAGAAGCACTCTCTCCACGAGTTGAACTACGTTCGTAAGTTTCAATTTGACACATACTATTCACTTATCACAGAAGCGAGCGCGTTTCCCAGGGTATGTCCCTCTTCGGCGAAGACGAAAGTTCCGTACGTCTCCCCGTGGCTCCCCGGCAGCTGCGCTCACAATCGGCAGTTGAATAATTTTGCATTTCCCAATTATTAATTATTCATATTACCCTTGACAGACGTTTCTCCATCGCGATCCGCTCACTTCTTCCTCTTCTTCTTAGTGGCACCTGCCTTCGGACGAGAGTCCAGCCAAGCGATCCGCTCACACGTGTGCCGATCGAATCACGCAGATCACGCTTTTAATAGCCTAACCTAAACCGGCTTGGCGAAATCGAAAACACTCGGTTAACCTCACAATCAGTTAACCTCGCACGAGTTTGACGATACTACAGGTACCTTTATGCTCTCGATGGATATATTGTGTGATTTCCTCGAAAGTATGTACAGTGGCGGGCAGAATGGTTGCGGCATTTTTTTTTATAAATAATTTTAGAATGTAATATTTTGCGAATGCGAGAAACACGATTAGCGTATTATTTCTAGGTTAGAGACACCGTTCTGTCCATCGCTGTATATACATCTCGCACGTGCGTATTATCTGTTTCTCACAAGTGCAACAGCTGATGATTTTCCCGTTTTCAGTCTCTTTTGTCACTTACGCGTACCTTTATTTTTTAATCGGCTTGATCTGAGCTCGAAATCTAAATTCGCACGGCGTACAACTCGGATGTCCCGATGAGCCTGAGACGGATCTGCGATGTCATCATTCGGCGGAACGTGCGATTCCGAGGCGTCGCCGGGCGTTCCCTCGCCACGGAGTCGGCGGAGCCGAAGGACGAGGTCGTCGACATAGCCGCCGCCGACGAGAAGCCGATATACTCGGACGATCCCCAGATTCTGGAGGAGCTCGACAGGAAGCGAAACAAGTCCCGGCTGGAGCCGCAGCACAGGAACATGCTTATGGGCGAGCGTCCCTACGTTCGGTCCATGGACTGGCACCACGATACGGTGAGGTACAAGAAGCGTATGCTGGGCAGGTACGGACTGAAAGCCATCGACGTGCCGGCGGGATTCGCGTGGCCCACGCCGGAGGAGGTCAGGGACGCTCAGGAGTACGAGAGAGTCGCCTTCCCGCTGTCCCTTCAAGAGAGATGGAAGAAGCTGGAGGAGGCTAAACGGTTGAAGGCCGAGCAGGTTCGAGCAAGGTGCGTTGTCTTCGTCGATCGTATATCGCTTATCCAAGTGTCGTCAAATGCGAGCTCATCAATTTTGGGAGCGGCGTATTTAATGCACGATGCGCGTCAATTTTGCAGGGAAGCTGAAGTGGCGGAGAAACTGGCGAAGGTAGGCCAATGGACGGCCGAGATGAACGCGAGGGTCGCTAAGAAGGAGGCCGAGCTGGAGGCTGCCAGATTGCGCAAGGAGCGCCTGGTGGAGGAAGTCAGGAAACACTTCGGCTTCAAGATCTCGCCTAACGACGAGAGATTCAAGACGATGCTGGCGCAGAAGGAAAAGGAGGAGAAGAAGAAGAAGAAGGAGGCTAAGAAGAAGGCGAAGATAGACAAGTTGACGAGCATGATTCAAGAGATGTCAAAGGACGACGACGCGAGTCAAGAACGAGCGACCGATTCGACGAAATCTGCAGAATAGTGACGTTTTTCTTTCCGCAAAGTATAATATATATTAAAACGTTCTAATTATATATCGTAACAATTATTTATATTCGCTCTCCCTTTCCAAGTGCGACTATCTCGAGGTTCGAACGTACGTACGGCCGATATGATTAAACCACGTTGACCACTTTTCGTTACACTTTATTTAAGCAATCGGCGTTCTCGTATCTCAACACGAGACACCGCGAAGTGAAATTGGCTATGATCAAAAGAGATATCCAAATACTTTCCTCCGCTTTACATTATTACAGAAGCGTGTCTCTGTAGTAGAAACTTTTTCCAACGGGCTTATATTCCGGCGAGAGTATAATGTAAATCTCGGGGGGACAATATACACATACGCGTAATAATAAATATCATACCTTTTTTTTTTCACTAATACAAAAAACATTACACACTGTTTCGCAAAAGACTAGAAGAAATTATTCTTAATGCATAGTTGATAAATGACGCTCCTCTTTAAGACACTTAACCAGGCACACGTTGCGACGATATATAATTACGTTGCTTACAAAACGAATCTCGCTCGCGCTGAAGTCCTTCGGTGATAACCGCAATTATCAAACCATCGAACCTACATTGCATTCGAGAGATACGATTTCCTCGTAATTTGTACCGTACTTAACTCGTTATATCCATTCCATTAAGCATATCAATTAATCTGATTCAGCTGGTTCGGTTAAGCCTCTAGCTAATCTAGCAGCCGCGTTGAATAAAATGATCGAACGTTTCGCGTCATCATTGTGAAAAATTTTCCGAGCAAGATCAGCTTCTCGCCATCGCGCAGTCCTCGTTGTCCCGATGATCGCTGTCGACAGGCGGCGATCTTCTCTGCCGCTCCGAGAGGTTCCTCTCGATTTCAGCGACGTCGCGAATCAGCGGCTGGTCGTCGTACGATCGCGCGTTCTGTATCTGCAGCTCGTCGATCACAATAAAACGTACTTTGTTGCCCTCCGTGTGTCAGGCGGATTGCAGCTGCGACGGCGACGTCAATTCGTAGAACTGGAAGCTGAGCTCCTCGCCGAAGAGATTTTCCGATCCTATGATCTCGGGATCGACCACGTTCAGTCCCAGCGTATTCGGATTCAGATCCGTGACCAGATATCCCTCGCTCACGAGTCCGCATTCCTCGGCGACGACCTCCTTCGACACCGGGTTCAGAAAATCTGCGAATTAATTTCACAATTGGTCAAATTTCGCTTCACCAAAGCGTGTTCCTCGCCAAAGTCTTTTTTAATCCCTTATGAAGGAAGTATTTAAATGATTAACGATTTTCCTTACCACTTTCCTTGAAGGGGCACTGAAGCTGCGTTTGTTGCGCGGTCTGCTCGTTCTGCTGACCCGCCTCGGGATCGTTGTTGGTCACCATCATGGGGACCAGATACTGCACCTCCACTTGGCGTTTTATTCCGTTGAGTATCTGCTCGGCGGAATGCTCGAGCGTCACGGAATTCAGTATATTGTCGGTGTCCTCCTCGGAATTCGGCTGCGTGATACTCGCCGTCGCGGCCTCCACCTCGTCCATGATGTCGCTGTAATGTCAAGACGCTCGTTCACCAATGCGTTCATCACAAATAGTTTTGCAAAGACTCTTGTTAACGAGGAATCGTACTAGACGTTTACCTGATGATCTTGTTACTCCGGGATTCGTCACAGTCATTTTGCGCGTTTGCCACTTGTCGTGCCGGTGCAGTGCTCGACAGGCCGTTAACGGCGAACGGACGAGGTCTGCAATCGTTACGATTCGCGATCGCCCAAAGGTGACCTGCCCCATGAGGCGCCTTCGATCCTTTCCTGAAGTGTGGATTTATCGAGAGATTATGCCGGACGGAGTTCTTCCAGCGATCGTCGTTGCTCTTGTAGTAAGGGAAATGCTCGCTGAAAAACGACGAGAAAAAAAAAATTATTCTTTCGATTTTAATTAAACAAATTAAATGTGACTCGTACTTTCCAAAACAAAAATATTTTGTATAATTTAATAAAGTGCTTGCAAGAGGTACCGTAATTATTTTACGTAGGCAAATCGACGGGAACACGATTAGGGAGATATTACCACGTAAAAACGCACACGGCGGCAATTTGGTTCCCTATACGAAAACTAATTTCCTCCACCTGCTCGCAGCGATGTCACGGTGCGTTACGCACCCTCCCCTCCGCCTGTCGCGATTAATTTCACGAGTTTCGGTGGAGAACGGGAGACATTTGAGGCCAAGGGTGCATTTGAAATGCTAAATGGTGCGTTTACTCGCTCCGCTGATCACGATGATCGCGACGTTGTCACTTACACCGTCGACAGTTTAACGTTTAATCTGTTTCTAAGTCATCGCGTATCATGTTAAACCAGTGCAATGAGAATATATAATTAATATTATTATTACTCTTAATATTGTTCATGATTTCGAAATGCAATCCTTAGCGAGGAGGCATTTTAATTTAACTCTGAATTATGTCATGATTGATAGTCTCGGATAATGCAAACGTGAAGATAAGATTTATGATTTTTAACATTATTCATGTGCATATTTATAGGACCGCCTCTTTGCGAAGTAATCGGAGATATTTCTTTTGACTCGTGTGTGTTCGAGCCGAGTCTACGCGGCCGAACCCGGATGATCTATATACGCCTTTTCCAAGGAGCTCGAACGGCGATCGAACAGGTGAAGGCACAGAAGCAGTAAATTGTGCGCATTCGTGTTGAGGGCTGCAACGAAGGATAGCCGAAGGGTGAGGAGTTAGTGCCAGGTGGTGCCAAGCAACGGGGGCAGTGGTACCAATGGGTACCATCTAGAAGTAGCCCACCCCCCGTCGACCCACCCCCTCCGACCAGCGGGCCACGTTCGTGTAAATTCGTAGAAAACCCCTTGCGCGTCTGATACGCAGCTAAGAAAGACATTCCGTGTGTTTCCGATGAAACTTGTAAATATTTTCCTCTCGTAGGGCTCAATTTCTATGTTTTAATCGATCGATTGTTTTATTTAAAAATTTGCGATCCCGTTTAAAATCCAGAATTAAAGAAATATATAAAAAATACATAAATGATTAATAAAAGAAAAAAATATTTAATTGACATGTTTAATTAGATATCTAATTGGGAGTCTATGAAAGAAAGTTTGTAAGAGAAAGTCTGCTAAAATTATAAATTTGCAGCACGCGGGTCACGGACAATAATTTCGGCAGGGCGTCGTAATGGAGAAGCAAATATAACAGGCCAGCAAATTTACGATTATAATAGCAGTAGTAATATAATTTTCTTGCCGACTTACGAGATCCACTGGTAAATCGCGGAGACGGTGAGCTCGCCTCTTTCCTGCAGCGCGTGCTCTATCAATTCCGTGTAGGTGAAGGGCGGCTTCTTCGGCCCATTGGATCGCGCGGACGAGAAATTCCGGCTGTCGACTCCGTTTGCGGGATAAGTCGCCTGATTCGAGTCCTGTCGATACGCCGACGAATTTTCGTGACTGCCATTTCCTCTCCTGACGTCGTTGGCGTAATTGGAGCCGTACGACCTTCCGTTCGATTTATTCTTGTTGCCTGAAAATGCGCAATTAGCCGCGGAACCGTGAATTCTATTAACGGAACATACGCAGTTTTTTTTTTATTCATAATTTAATTACGATGAAACTTTTGACGGCTATGACACTGTTTGCCCATCGTTTCAAAAAAAGTCGTAAACGAAAAATTACCCCTCTTTTCACGATTCATCGATCGATATCGAGAGACTCCCTTTAAAGTATAAACAAAGTAAAGATTTTAGTTTCAATACCAAAGCAAATGACATCCCTTTGTCTTCTCCATCTTTCTTTAAGTTTAATTCGATTCAAACATTTACTTTGTTCTGCACTTTTCTCACCATAATAATTGTTCTTCGTTGCCGCGGTGAGCCCCACGGCGGATCTGTCGTCCGCGGCTTCGATGAACGGATCCAGCTTGAAATCCAGCAGCCACGACAGATTCCCGTTCTCCTGATCCTCGAATTGTTGCTGCGGCTGCTGTTGTTGTTGCTGCTGTTGCTGATTGTTGCCGGTGGTTCCCTTACTTTGCTGCACGTTCAGATTGGCGAGCGAGATCACGGGGGCGGCGACCGGTTCCCAGTAATTCACCGACACCGCCGGCTGATAATTAAGCTCTTCGACGGCGTAGGTTTCCGCGGGATGACGCTCGACGCCGGATGAGATTGACGAGGACGAGGACGACGATGAGGAAGACGAGGTCACGAGGACGTCCAGATTCTGCTGCTGCTCCAGCTCCGACACGGTCGTCCAGGTGCAGTTTGTGCCGTCCACCAGCAACACCTCCAGACGCGCCACTTGCGACTCCTCGACGGCCTCCTGGCCGGACATCGGCGAGAAGAGGGACGCCGCATTGGCGATGATCTCGTTCGACGTGGCCACCAGCTCCACCGGCGTCTCCAGCTCCTCGAGATAGTGCTTGCGACTCGTCTGCATCTCATTGCAGAAGCTGTCGATATCCAGATCGTCAAAGACCTTTCGCTTGGAACCGTCGACGTCCAGGTCGTCGAAGATCTTCCGCTTGGAGGAGGCGCAGCACTGGCTCTCGGTCACCTCGCCGGCGATCCCTGACGACGGCCCGATCATCCTGTTTGCTTTCAAGCTACTGACGAACGCAAGTCAGTGGATCTTATAAAAAAAAGGGCAAAATAATACACAAACGAAAGGAATTTAGCCAAAATCTATTCTGCAATGCAAAACGAAATGCAAAAAATTGATGTAAAAATTTAGCGTTTCAAACTTTAGCTTTACAAAATGTATATAAATGTAATTTCCTATTAATTCTTTATTAAATTTTTTTAATGAGCGACTCTATGTTTTAATTTACTTACTTTACGTAAAATAAAATAACGAGAAGACGGCAGCAATTAAGAATTATAGCTCGCGCGTTAAATAATTACCATTTGAAAGACAATTAATTCAGACGTTTGTGTGCAATATGAGCTAGGTTAAAGACAAGCATGACTTAAAAATTTGAAGTATCCCTCTCGAACGTATAATTCCCTTGACTATGCAGAGTTCATTTCACGATGCACGAATTAATTAAGCGTCTTCGTGCGAAACGCAAAAGCGGTCTCCTACCTTGCTCCCGCTCGCTGTCTTTATTCAGTTTTTCGCGTGGTGCTCCGAATATTCCTTTTATCTCAACCGAATTCGGCGCGAGATCATCGTCGGAGGCCGGGAAATGCGCGAATTATACTTTCGGTTCAGCTTGCTTGCACTGTAACTCCGTTTTCCCGTTCCTCGACTTCAGACGCGCACCGTCATACCGCGATTTCAAGCGCGCGACTCTCCGCGCCGCGTGATCGCCGATCAAACGTTGTCGCGCACGTCCGGCGCGGGACACGCTTCCCGAAATGAGCCGTCCGATTGTATTCTTCTTTTTTCTTCGTCGCGATCGAGCGCCCGCGGAGCGCGTCCGTCAACCACACGATCGGCGCCGTGTGCGCGCCGCTCGTTTGTCTCAAACGTCGGCTGTCCCGCGCCGCGCGCGCCGCGCACGCGCACCCGCGACACACCGCTGGGTACAACCCTTTGACCATATTATACAGTCAAAGGTACAACCGCGGACGAAGGAAAAAACGGGCCATGCGACCGAACTGCACCCTGAAACTGCTATATGCCCGGAAATGCCAAGCTGGAATATACGTCTGGACTTCGAATCTCCTTGGGAAATCCAGAAAACACCATAGAAACAATGATACTTTTTAATAAAATTGGCATATAATTGCATTGTATAACATTTTACATATAATTATTACATATAATTACATTATATTACATCTTCTTCTTCCGCCCCCACCAGGGGCTATACAGCCTGAACATTGCATTACATTGTATTATACCACCGACGAGATACTGTTAAAGACCGTCAGCCCTGGGCAAATTTTCGTGCCGGCCAAAGGACCCGGAGGTAATTGTAGAGTGTCGATGTTATCGACTTTTAGCAATTACTAAACAGCCACGCTAACTCCCGTAAGAGTGTCGGTCTTTAATAGTATCTCGTCGGTAATTACATTCTAAATTTTTTATCAGTGAAAATTTTTTGACGGTAAGAAATAATTCATTATAACAGTATTCATATTAACAGTGAAAAGTAATTTCACAAGAGTAAAAAATATAGTGAAGTAATTGCCTATAAGAGACGATACGGGTGTCGGTGTGTGAAATTCTTATCGTTACAATATCCAACCATACACGATCTGCGCACCGTATTTGAAGACATATTTCTTTAATTCAATTTGTAGTAGAAGGGGTACCGTAAAATAACAAAATATACCATAATACATAATATATATAAGACATAATACAATCATAAAAAGTTCAACTTGGACAAACTAAGAAATACAAAAACTCGCCCAGTTTCAATACGAGATTAAAAGAAAAATTGAAAACACCATAAAAGGCTAACTTCTCTAGCCTTTGACCTAATTTAATAATTCATTAATTATTTATTAATTATATTAATTATTTATTATTAATTATTTATTATTTATTAATTATTTATTATCAAACCTAAATCAATAACGAGATCAAAAGAAAAACTGAAAATATGGTTACAGGAAGATAACACATCGCCTAGTAATCCTAAAAAACAAATCAAATGGAACAGAAATAACAATTTAATGACCTAGCAGGATCTGAAGGAACTGTTAGGGAGAACACAGAAACCATAAATATTAACAAATCACTTTTAAATCTCAACAAAAAAAACCATAAGTGTTCAAACTTTTTCAAATCCTGTTTTAAATATTAAAAAAAATATTTAGAGCAGCTAATAAACATCAAAATACACGCAATCCTAAAAAGTTCAACTTGGACAAACTAAGAGATACGAAAACTCGCCAGACTTTCAATAACGAGATCAAAAGTAACCCTAAAAAACAAATAAAATTGGACGTCCAAAGTCCCAGTCCAAATCCTTGGAGCTGTTACAGCTTATTTAAACTCATTGGTCAAGACCATAAAATCAAACCGCGTGATAATTCGTGTGATACGAGCTGCGTTCCGTTTCACGCATGATATATCATAGTATCTTTGTTGTTCATCACATGTTAAATAAAGATGAAAGGATAAATTATGCGCATCATGTATCGAACCGAGGAATTGAAAAAAATTACCGAAAACTCGTTATCCACCCTACAGCCTAAAATGCGGGAGCTCTATGAAAGAGCAGTCCTTGCTGAGATACATTATACTGAAACAAGAAACAAATTATTACAGTTGAAGTTAAACTATAATGAGAATCAAGAGCTGCTTTGCAAAGAAATGAAACAACTGCAGTTAAAGTTTTATAAAAAAACACAAGAAAAAAAACGGTTCAAGCTGATAATTATGATAATTATTATAAAAAACCAATTTAAAGAATTGTAAAACTAATTTGGAAAGATTTAATAAAAATCTTTCAAATATGGTGCATTAGTTCACCATATTTAAAAAGGACTTTTTACTCCCGACTGCCGCCAACCGAAGGTTGGCAAAAACGGAGGGAGTATGCGTTTCACCATCCAAATCGGTTGTCATCAAAGATCTCCATAACTACAATACAGATTCCTGTCAACTTTTGGCAGTAGACTTCTTGTTGACCAAGCTTGGTTTAAAGCGTATAATTATTAGAATCAAAATTTTGTACTAAGAGGTCGGTTAAATAGGTCTCCCCGAGACCTATTTAAAATTAAATATTTAAAAGAATATTTAGAGCAACTAATAAACATCAAAATATACCCAATCCTAAAAAGTTCAACTTGGACAAACTAAGAGACACGAAAACTCGCCAGACTTTCAATAACGAGATCAAAAGAAAAATTGAAAACATCATAAAAGGCTAACTTCTCTAGCCTTTGACCTAATTTAATACTTAATTATTTATCAAACCTAAATCAAACCTAAATCAATAACGAGATCAAAAGAAAAACTGAAAATATGGTTACAGGAAGATAACACATCGCCTAGTAACCCTAAAAAAACAAATTATGATTGTTAATTTATCACCTTTAAAAGAATCTATAAGTTCACTAAGATATCCAGAAAACATTAAACCTATCGGACAGGTGTGAAACAAAATTTAACCATTCCATGTTAATTATTATTAGTGCTCGGAAGAAGAACACTCACTTTATATTAGTAAATATTTTATAAATTTTAAAGATTTTAAAGAGAAAAAATTATAAAGATCAGAATTAATCATTTGTGCCATTGTGTCTTTTAATATAAGATTATGAATTTATACGAGTGCAAGAATACAAAGTTTTTATGCAGCTCAAAAAATTCAGGCGACATAAAGATTGGAAAAAAATTATGCCTGTGAGAAAATTATACGGAGAAAGGTACCGATACGTCTTCAAAACGGTTGGATGGATATTGCAACTGATACACATATTAAAATTACAAATAATTACAGAAAACCTATTAGTCAGACTCACCAACGAGTGAGCTTGGTGTTACTGCCGCTATTGCTGCTCTCGAAGGAATGGAGTTTTTCTCAGCCTTTTTCCAAATTAGCGGCTTTCGTTACTGATCGTCGTAGCTGCTGCTGCTGCTACTCTTATTGCTGTTACGCCTCTGCCGGATATGTCGCATGAAAACTGTCCGAACCAAACGGGTAGAACTTATGCATACGAATAATCCAAGAAGTGCTGGCGTGAATGAGTGAAATCATCGGCGATACCTGTTCCATTGACGCGTTATACATTTGGGAAAAACACGAAGAAACGTTATGCTTGATAAAAGAAGACTCTTGGACGCTAAACAGCGAGAGTCATGAACTAAGTGAGAGTGGTGAAGTTGAAAGATTTTGCTGCGCGAAGAATACACAACCCGCTTTAAAGGGTAACGTGTACGTTAAATTTCGCACGTATAAACATGCCGTAAAGGCATTTTTTAAATATAATTATGATATCATCGATATCATCGATCCTCGCCGCTCGGAGAAGTTACCTGTAACCTCGTAGTCCAAATACCGTGATCAGAAGACCAGCTCTGATCTTTGCGAAAACGTTTCCCATGCCGACGATCCTGTCGAGGTGCGATCTCAAAACGAAAGAGGAGCTTGTGAAAACCGAGAAATTTCACTTTGTCAAAAATTCATGTAACACAAGCGTCACGGACGCTCATACAAGTTAGAATCTGTAAGTCGAATGACAAGGCGTGTTTTACGATCAGAATAGGTAAATATATCCATCGCGATACTACAGAAATATGAGATAGCGTGTTTTTATCATTGATCATGTGGGAACATTACGCGAGAAATAATACGATCTTACCTGGCCATATAAATTGTTTTGATTAGTCTTCAATGTCACTGTTTCAGTTTCAGCATCCAATATATATAGACAAATGCTCAAAACTTTCGTAGTCCTCGTAATTGAGTGTAACATTACTGTAAGCTCCGTAAGTCTCATTTTTCTCAGGATGGAAAAAAGAATCTTTGATTTGTGCACTCTCCAAAGCTACTAGAAATAGAAGTCTGCTGTAACAGAAAGGAGTTACCTTATTGTCCAGTGTTATCTACTTTACAAAAATATCCTCGTATCCTACGCGCACGTATTTAGTTATTAAGTATTAATGCGACTTGACGAGAATCTATGCGCGATAGATCCTCCACGACGATCGCGATTGACGAATCCTTTGGCAAGATCTCGTCGCTCGAGGTAGATTTCAGACTTTTTTTGGTGTTCCCGGTTCGCCAGTGTGATAAAACTGATAAACGTTGGAGAACGTTGGAAAGAATCTGACCTTATCTGCTGCAATTGTTGCTGAGATCGTCGTAGCTGCTGCTGCTCTTATTGCTGTTACACCTCTGCCGGATATGTCGCATGAAAACGGTCCGAATCAGACTGGTAGTACTTATGCATACGAATAATCCAAGAAGTGCTGGCGTGAATGAGTGGCACCATCGGCGATACCAGTTCCATTAACGCATTGCACATCTGCAGAAAACACGAAGGACCGTTATGCGTGATAAAAGTAAACTCTTGGACTCTAAACAGCGTCGGGAGAGTAGTCGCTCGTTGCCGTGCGTAATTAAGCGCCCGAATTTCCATTACGAATTCCGTGAAATTAATGATTCGCCCTTCGCGATTTATCTGAAACGGCGGATAAGATGGAAATCGGAGAAATTCCATGTTGACTATTCGCGGTGGCGAAACGGAGATGTGAAAATATTTACTATCCCCACGTAGCGCTTGGAATTGACTGCGTTCCGTTTCACGCATGATGCGCGTGATGTATCATTTTATCTTTGTTTATATTCGGTGAACAACAAGGATAAAATAATATATCACGGGCATCATGCGTGAAATGAAACGCAGACTCGTTCGTACGAGACATACCTATTCGTTTTCGACGAAAACGAAAATACGCGATCACGGAGCGAAGTAACGCATCACGTACGGATTTTCGCGATCGAACTAATTATGGCTCATCAGCTGCGTATCCATGGTAGAAATACAAAAATACAAATATTTCTACCATGCGTGACCTCCAAAAAAGTGACGAGTTGGACGTAATCAAAACAGCGCTCACTCAGGCTCGAGCTTGAGAAACAAATATATCACAATGAAAAATATATAATTAATAAGAAATCGGACGAAGACTTTGTCCATAATTTAATTTAACGATTCCGAATTAACGTGATTAACTTTTCTTTGGTGTTCCCGGTTCGCGAGTGTAATAAAATTGATGAACGTGGTAGACTGATTTTTCTTTCTCGTCCTCTGTGCGTCTCCGGCATTTCTTCGCGTAGGTCGCTTCAAAGAATTCGAAATATCTCAAGCGACCAATCCAGAGTATAAGATTTGGGTAAAGGCGCAGAGCATATAGTGGTCACTTACGTACCATGGTACGCGCGCGTGATCGTTTGTTTACCGAGCAATCACCTTGAAAAATAAGTTGCTAATAAGAAATCGGATAGTAAACAAACGATCACGCGTGCGTACCGCGGTACGTGAGTGATCACTGTGCTCTGCGCCTGCGCCCTGACCCAAATCTTATACTCTGGATTGGTCGCTTGAGATATTTTAAATTTTTTGAAGCGACCTACGCGAAAAAAGATGCTACGCGAAGAAATGCCGAAGAAGCACTGAGAAAAAAAAATCAGATAAATCTTTATCAATTTTATTACACTCGCGAACCGGGAACACCAAAGAAAAGTCTAAAAACTACGTCTTGAGCGACGAGATCTTGCCAAAGGGTTCGTCTTTCGCGCTATAGATCTCGTTAAATCGCATTAAGACTTAAAATCCAATATAATTACAATAAACGGGACACTTACCTCATAGTCGAGAGAAGCCAAGCTTCGAAGGCACAACGGGATCACGATCTCTCGCACGCCCGAACGCTTCCTTGGCAGGAGTGGCAGAGAAAAAGAGAGACGGTCCTTCTTCGAATCGTCGTCGATGGACGTGCAGAGTGGAAAGGACCCACACACACGCGCGACGTCGGCGACCTCAACATCCACCGCGATCGTTCGCGAGTGTCTGCAAACGTCGCGAAACGAACATTGCGAATGCCACGGAAGCACGAAACGCGCGACCCGCGGCCGGCCGGGCCACACACGAAGACGGAAGTGACGGAACCGACGTCACCGACTCCGGTACACGAACTTCCTTGCTACCAACTGAGAAAAGTTAAATTATTTAGCGTTGGCCAGTTGGTACACAGGTGTTCACAAATGGCCCTCCAAGTAACTAGATGTAACTAGATACATATCTAGTTACATTTATGCTGGATGCACGCAGGACGCGGCAATTCGCTTGCCGCGCGGCCGAAGTTGGCATTGTGGCCAGAACAATTAAAAAGAAAGAATTAAGGAATAAATATCTTTGAGGAGAAACGCTTTCCATTTATTGAAATTCATGCTATCGACGTCTGTGTGTCGAATTATCCATTTTCAAGAAAAACTCCCGTCTTCTGCGGACAAGGTCAAGGTAAACGCGCGCGACCGCGAACAAACTTTTGCACGGACTGTCGCGCAAAATACGATTTTTTGCGCGGAATGTACCGCGCAGGGGCGCGACGCGACGTCGACTCGCGGGGTCCCGATCCGAAATGAACGCGGATAACGAGGCTAACGTGGATCAAATACATATACCGCAAACCGGAAGAAGGAATGAACGATCGGGAATTCTAAGAGCGATCGAAATCAATAAATTTGAACTTTCGGGAACGTGACCGGCGAGGCGGAGGATCGCGATGACTTTCGATCATTTTCGAGACACGTACTTCTCGAAATGTTTGAAGATCAAGGGGAGGGGGGGACGGCATTTTTTTACATAGATCTTTAGAATCATTTCAAGCGCGATCTCAAAATCTGCCACAGTCGCTTTACTGGAATCGTATAACTATAATGTATAATATATACGAATACGTATAAAATATATGAACATAAAAAATCGATTTTTTAAATACGTATATACGAGATGAAATATAAATAATTGGATCATGAATATCGTCTGAGAAACTAACACGTAGCCCTCGCAGGCAAGTGGAAAGGCAGGGGGAGAGGAACAAGAAGTACGGAAGGCTTACTCGCGGAAGGAGAGGCGGGAGGGCCCTATCGCAAGAAGACTCCGGAATTTGACGGCTCTGGACTGCTCTGGACTGGGTACCGCGGATATGCACAGTACGGACCGAGTGTCGCTCGGGAGAGTGACATTTAAAATCCACGACTGAGGATACAACGACGACGACGACGACGACGAAGTAGAGGTAGAGGAGGAAGACGAGCAAAACGACGGGGTTGACAGGCACGCTGACAGTCTCGACAGCCTCCGGGCACATGGGGCATTGAGCATCGCCGAGCCGAGGGCACGTTCGAGAAGCAGGCGATCATGGATCTCAACAACGATCTGGACCAACACTTGCTGCACCAGTTCAGCTGCCTGGGCACCACGGACAAGGACGACCTGGTGAAGCAGCTGCAGAAGCTGCTGGCCGACAGCCACCTGAACGAGACCACCGCCGCGTTCTTCCTTGACATGAACAATTGGTAAACGAAAGGTCCCCCTGTTTGGGACGCCACACTCGATCGCCGTCCGTTGTACATTAGTACGCTCTGCCCACGCACATAACCTTGCATCGCCATGTTTACCGCGACCCCCCGCAAGGATGTATCGTTACCTCCTCGAGCATCGGACGTATTGGACCTCCGCGAAAGGATCCTTTCCCTTTCCCTTCCCCCTCCCCCTCCCCGGTTTTTGCCGGGTAAACGGCAATATTGTTCGTCGTAGCGCGTCTAGCCCTTTAAATCTTTTCTTCTCCCCGAGTGTCCCCCGTTTTTAACAAATCTGTGTCAAAATATTGCCAGTGTCCCATTTCGGGATGATGAAATCGCTAACGACGATGTGGATCTTATTGCGACACAAGGTCTTTTTAGTCTGCAATTAAAATAGAACGTACATAAGTTTTTGTATTCGAACGGAAGCGAAAGGCCATTTAAAAATGGAAGGCACGGCTACGAAATGAGAGTTTGGAGAATTTCGGTGGCAATGAGCGATGCTAACAACTGGACGTGAATTCTTAATTAACGCATAATCGTTGAGATTTGAAAGATTTCGAATACATGTAGCTTTGTTATTCCATTCTATTCTGTCAATAGAATATTTTATTATAAAACAATTTGTGCTCCAACAATATCTAGGACACTTGCCTTTGTCTTGAAGTTGTTTGCGGATAATAAAATGGGAAGGATCGTTATCGTTGTTACAGGGAACAAACATAAGAGCTTAAATTCCTTATCGCTTAAACAGACAAAGAGAATCCCTTCCTTCGCTAGATATTATTGCAATATAAATTTTCCCTTCCAGGAATCTGCAAGCGGCGATTTGCAGCTACATCGACTTCGGGAATCCCTTCAATACACCGTGCATGACGTTGATATGTGACAGTACGATCGGCGAGGGTGAGGCTGTTCCGCCCAATACAAACTTTCAGAAGTCATGGCGCGTGCAGAACAGCGGCACGGAGGCATGGCCCAGCGGGATCCACCTGCAGCATTCCAGCGGGGTGCAAATGGGCTGCGCGCGAATACCTGTTCCGCCGTTGGCCCCCAAGGAGACCACGGAGTTAAGCGTGACGTTGAAAAGTCCAGCCGAGGCCGGCGTCCACAGTAGTAAATGGAGGATGATGACGCCCAACGGTGTCTACTTTGGTGGTACGTCGCGATTTTTTACGCAGCCATTTCCACGTGCGATAGAGCGAGAACGTGGGGGAAGGATTTGAAAGCGTGTAGCGCGCATTAAAAGAAATAAATGTTATGCCAGTGCAGATCGATAAATCAATCTCGGAGCCCAAGAAAGACAATTTATTTTAACTTAATTAATTGTATATTAAATTAAGACGTACGCACAGATAGCGATCTGCATTTTACTTATCTTGTCGATATCTTGAACTGATAACGTTAAGCATTCCAATACCATTGATACAGCAAGAATACCATTGTTCATCTTTCTATTGATTTCCGTGATAAAACTCGATTCCTTTTTCTAGATCGCTCTAATCGATTTGATTTGATCGTATTTTGCAAAAAAAAAGTAATTATCCTTTTTTTTGCAGATGTTATCTGGGTGATCATAACGGTGAGTGAATACGGTACATTGGCAGTCACTCAACAGTTGCATCAGTTAAGTACACAGTCGAATGATGTGCAAATGTGCTAGCCTTTGACGTACAAAAGTCTCCCCTAAGAAGGATTTACGGAATATTGTAAGACGTCTCTCTCGGATCGTTATAAGAAATCGAACAGTTGTTTCTAAATTTGTATAGATCGCTTTTTTCACAACGGAGCTTTTTGCCGCTCCTGCACCTCATAAACAAAACAAAACAAAAAAAAGAAATTGCTGTGTGTAGCGGAGATATATCATTAATAAAGGATGCAATAGATTTGGCTATACTCTTATCCTGATTAAAAAATAATAGCATGAGAGACGAGGAGCTAGTTTAAAAAATGAAAATGTGCATTTTATAAAAGAAAAAAAAATTCCGATTCAAGTTTTATCTGAATTTTCCGTTAGAAGTAATCCTTTGTTCGTAGTGCAGGAACGATCATTTCCAATGTTTGTTCTTACTGATTTATATATTTAAAAAAAAAATAACGAATTTATATATAAATATATATAGAATTACATAATTTTGTTATACTTATAGAAGCTGCTTATATAGGCCTTTTACGATCGTCCATGCTTGTCGATCACACGTAATCGACCGGAAAAAAAAAAACATTAAATTTATGTAATATAGAAGTTGGAATAGCGCAGCGCGTGCGATAATTTTTATTGGAATAAGGAAGTGAATCGTGATAGATATGCATGGATCCACATGCGATGGGTATTTGAAGATATTGATATACACTTAAGGTACAAGATTTATTGAAAATATAATTTTTCTCTCTTAGAAAAGTCAAGTTTAGTTAAATATACACATATATATATACATAGAGGCATAGATGTATATGCGTATATAAGACTTTACTTAACGATATATGTAGCTAGGGGATTACAATATAAAGTATATTCATCACTTTTACCATCAGCCCACACACAAAGAGAACTCGAACTAATAGAGGTAATTTTTTTACGTCTGTATCTCTCTCTCTTTATCTCTCTTAAATCGAAAATATTGTAATTGAAAGTACTACCACTTAATCGGTGTGTGTATCCGAATACTGATCAGAGAAATACTATAGAAAGATTAGCACGTTGGTTTATTAGTTAAGTACGTTAAACAGGAAAATCAGTGTCGCCTTCATTAATTACCACGAATGTTACTGAGAGCGAAATGTAAAATTTTAACATAGATCCTTCCAGAGGACTTAAGCTTATACGAAAGCGAGGTAGCTCAGACAGCCATCTTCATGTAGAGTTTGGAGTACGGCTTGTAATCTATCAATTCGAAATCCTCGGCAATGAAATCGTCGATATCTTTGACCTCTCTGACTATCTTTAATTTTGGAAACTTGCGCGGTTCGCGTTTCACCTGTTCCTCGAGGGCGCTTATATGGTTGACGTAGACGTGGCAGTCTCCCATTGTATGTACAAATTCTCCTGGCTGAAAAAAAAAAATAAAAGGAAATAGAAAACTGGAACATTCGTGTCGTCTGAAATTTGGAGTGAGTGTGTGCGGCGTGAGTGTGTCCGTCCCTTCCTCACCTTCAATCCGGTGACATGAGCGATCATGTAGGTGAGCAGGGAGTACGACGCTATGTTAAACGGCACCCCCAGACCCATGTCCGCGCTTCTCTGGTAAAGCTGCGCGGACAATTCGCCGTTATTTACGTAGAACTGTACGAAAGCGTGGCACGGCGGCAATGCCATCTTCGGAATGTCGGCCGGATTCCAAGCGGACATTATAATACGTCTGTCCTCCGGAGAATGCTTTACCTTGTGGATAACTTCCTTCAACTGGTCTACTCCTAAAATCAGTATGTACACCCCGTTAATTTTTAATCATACGTTTGCGTTTCTTATAAATATATCAAGAAGAGAATTATAGTGATTTGTTTAAAGAATATTTTTATCAAAAGTACCTTGCCCAGTGTAATCTGTGTGCATGTCTTTGTATTCAGCCCCAAAGTGCCGCCACTGGAAACCGTAGACAGGTCCCAAATCGCCCTCCTCTCTATCGGTGAAGCCGTAGGAGTCCAGGAAAGCTCGCGAGCCATTTTCGTCCCAAATATGAACACCTTTAGCCGTTAGCTCCTTGGAATTTGTCGATCCTTTGATGAACCACAGCAGTTCCTCGACCACCGCTCGCCAGAACACCCGTTTAGTTGTCAGTAGTGGAAAAACATCTGTGACCAAGTGAGCAAAATGTTAGCAATTATGTCATTCAGTTTCAAAGACAATATTGCGAGAGATTGGCATTAACTGCATCTACATATCAAGTTTTGTCAGTAGATTTTGCAGTCAAATCTACCCTCATATTCTGTCATGTATTTCTACTGGCACTGTGGAGAATTATAAATTATTTTGAAAGATACAACTAGATGCAACTATGTGTGCCATGCGTCTAAAAATTATTACCGACTATCTTTGCTTTATCAAGTAGACTGATATGAATTATAATACCGTCTCGTAAACTGAATCGCATTTGCGTGCCGAAGATGGAATAGGTGTCGACGCCGGTGCGATTACTCCTCTTTGTTCCAGTCTGAATAACCTTCTCGATAAGCCGCAAATACTGACGTTCCTCGTGCTCCTCGTTCGCCTTTCCGTTCATTTTCTGCTCCACGTCCCGTGTCGTTTCTCGCAGCGATTCCACCTCGACGCCGTTACTCGCCATTTCCTTCCCTTATCGCGTATATCGTATTACAATAATACCAGAGACACAATGCAGAGCGCAAAATGGAGATTGTTATTCCAGACGGTGTGAGGGAAAGTGGTCGTCATTAGCAACTTCTGTTCGTCATCCTGAAGTTATTTAAATTTAAATTCGAAACGTTTTCGAAAGATTTTTGACGGGTGAGCCGGATCAGCTGATTATCGCGTCACACGCACGCGTCCAGACGCGGGAAACCGCAAGTGACACGTGACTCGACCCAACTGAAGCTAGAAATAAGAACGTGAGAAACGCAGGTGGCACAAAATTCGGCACACTTGAAAAAGACACATGCGCGCGAGAATTCGCTTCTTAAAAAATATAAATATCAAAGGACGTTTTTTTTTCCTTTTCCTTTCTCTTCGTGGAAACAAAACCGCTGGAAGAGTCGAGCTTTCTGTAAGGGTCAATGCAAACGTACACAGCCTTTATTTCTGATATATAGAGTGTAATCGTAAAATAAATTTAAATTAATATACAGAGTGCGATATACACATTCGCGTGTATATAATATATATGTATACATATATATATATATAAAGCGAAAAAGAATAGAACGGATACGGACAGATAGAGAACTCGAGTCGCCTAATATCCGGACGGCTCGTTCTTGTGGCCTTCGATACATCAAAGGCCTGTTTTTTATAGCTGAACTGCTGCAGTTCACAGTTTATCTTTCTCTTTCTATATTGGAAGAAGAAAGATAAACTCTCAACTAGTGTAGCCAGTTCAGCTATAAAAAACAGACCTCAAGTGGAAGAAAAAAAAAATAAGATCAGTACATCTGTTGGACGTGTGATAAAATGTGATGTTTTGTGACGCGTTAGTCGTTCAAGGTATGTACAAATATCATTACGGGATCACATTTCTTTCTACGTATATATAAATTTATGTACATAGTATTTGGTACTATATATCATTTGGTAACATAAAATGCACGAGTGTTTTTCGCAAAGTAAGAACGTAACAAAGCGAGTTCCTCAAAAAATTCATCGCTCGTCGTATCAAATTCCTTAAGTCATAAATCGCGTCGCGCAGGATGTCCCGAGACTGCCGAGATGTCCCTTTCCTAGAAATCCTTCAGCTAATTCAATACCGACGATTTTCACGATGGAATAGACATTCGAGATCTCGCAGATTCTTATCAATTTCGGGCGAAATTTAAATACAGAATTTCAGTTCCGAGCTCAGAATGAGAATGTCAGATACAATTGTCAAGAATTGTCCCATACATTCTCATTGATGGAAGATCATCTCCGAATCGACCGTGATTCAAGGAACATCACGCGGTCCCGGGATACACCGCATATATCAATACATTTTGACGCGATACGCATGTGATGTAGTAAATGATCATGATGATTTTGTACAATTGCGTACGCTGGAGAACGCTGTTGGAAAACTATATATATAAATATATGTTTTCCTCCCTTTCCATTTAGAATATTAAAGAGCGCTGTCCGCGCTAAAGTAAGCCGGTCTGGCAACGGACGCCGAGTACCTAGTACCGTTCCCACGCGGATGAATTCGGGTTGTATCGGCTACGTATTGATGGCGTTACTGCTGTCCAGCGTGTTCACGGTCGCCTCCTCGGATTCTCCGACGGATGGATTATTATTGTTAAGTCCGGCCTCGGTGTTGTAGTCCGAGAACGAACAGGCAGGCGCGCTTCTCGCTTGGCTCACCACCACCGTGGCCTCGGGCAGGAGCGACGTACGCTCCGTCGCGCTTCCCCAAGCCTGCTGATATGCACCGCGTCCGCGTATCCTGCGGCTTAGGGACGAGCCGACGACGCCCAAGTGTTCCTTTATGTCGTTATGCACGTCAGAAACGTCCCACATTGCTCTGTAAAAATAAATCAATATTTATATTAATTATATAAATTTATATATCAATATTTATATTAATACTATACCATAGGATAGTATATTAATTTATTAGAGATATTATTTCGATATTCAATTTAATTTCGAAATCAGTGCCAGCGAGTAATTTTTTTTTTTTTTATTAAAATATATAGACATTTTAATTTATTCGAAAGGTATTTGCTTCACACAAATAGTGTTCATTAATTTACGTTACCTAAATGCGTCCCACCATGCTTGACCCTGCGCCAAATTGACAAACGGTTTGTAAGAGAAGCTATAGTGATGCGCCACCGCGGCTAAAAACATCTCTATGCAAATTAGGAAATCCTGCAGTTTGGACGATATATTTCTGATGGCAGCCGTATCTGAGTCAGCCGTACCAAAAATACTCGATATGACGTCGAAGTATACCAAAAGAGCTATTAGCACTCCTTGACTGCAAAGAAAGAGCACAAGAGTATATTTCTCCGCGCGTCTCGTTGCGTATTTTTCTAAGATATCCGAACGTCACAACCGATACCTACAAGAACGAGAAGAACACGACAGCTTTGATGCATAAAAACTTTCCGATTGGCTTCATTGGCTTCAAGGCCTCTACATTGGCACGGTAAAAGAGTACCAGACAGTACATGGCGACGAACTGCGACAGATTGTTTAGAGCAATCATGTACGGGAAAGCGACGTCCCCCTTGAATTCACCCTCCCCATAGACTCCATTCAATTCGCATATGCTGCAAAAAAAAAAACAGATATCCATTAAAATGTTGCGACACATGACAGCAGATATAGATGTCTTTATTGATAACACAAAATTCCTTACAACGATATTAAAGTTGTAATAGGCCTAACAGCTGTATATTGTAAAATCCCATGCTTGCACATATGTACAAATTCTCTGCCCATCTCCCAATCGGGTAGGCAGCACAGGGGGAACATGTGGTGCACTTGAGGAGAGATCTCCAGTCTGTGCTCCAACTGGTGGTCGGCGTTCAGATAGGCCAGTAGATACATCATAAAATTGTATATTACATAAGCTTCGTAGCATTCTCTCAAGCTGTCCACGTATATACTTCCTTCAGGATACACCAAACCTAACCACTGTACAAACGGAAAGCGTTCGTTAAACAAACTGAATAAATATTTCCACACTTTTGGCGATACGTAAGAATTTGTAATTTTTTCCTTACAGCATTCACCGCGTAGATAGGTACCATCCATAATATCCTGAAAACAGAAGAACAAAATTTTCATATTCAGTACACGATTTGCGACTTAATTGAGAAGAAAACTCTGCAAGCTAAATCTTCGCAGCCCACCTTATTATATATTTTTGTAGCCTAGGTTGCGTGTAGTATATCATGTGCTGGACAATTTCGTAAAAGGCGATGGGCAGCGCCAGCAGGACGAAAGCTCCACCCACCAGCGCACCCTGATCTTGCTTCTCAATCCCATTCTTGATGGAGTTGACTAGCAAGATTGGTACAAGTATAACGATAAGCAGCGCGTACAAGCAGGTCAGCACAGGCAATATCCATAGTCTCCAGCGTCGGCAGATCGAAGCCATCACTCTCCTCGGATGCTTCGGGTACTGTCACATCATAATTTCAGCCTGCGACCACAGGCCCTGTTCTGAAAAGGCGAGCAATCACTGCAGACTGGGCTTTGCAGCAACAATCAGGAATCATAGATTAAAATCAGAGTTCAAGGCACTTTCTATCGCTTATTTATTTTGAATAAAATAATTGTAGGCCCCAGTAAGCAAAAGATTAGCGACACACTAGTAGTTACAAAGCAAAATCTGTCGATTTCATAACCGTTTAAATCGAGCATGTCATCAAATGATCCTTTACTTGACGAATATTTTATTATTTCTAGTTACTAAATTTTATCAGTTTCTGTAGTGAATCTGTAATCATATTTTGATAGTGGAGTCTGCTGTATTTCTGCTAACAAAAATTAGTAGCACACTTAACTAAATTTCGTTTTTAATAGAGTTGATTGTCTGAAGCGTGGAAAGTGTTAAGCTAAAGTATTACATTTGTACAAATTTGTCAAGTGTGTTAATTGACTGAGGTTCCTTTAGGCTGCAAGCTTGAAAAATTTGTACGACAAATGTAACATTGACTTTCCGCTGCACTAGAAAGTGAAGATTTTCGGTTACAAAATGACGCGTCATTTGATCGTAATTACAATGTTTACTTGTCGACAAACACGTTATACGTCGCCCAATGCTCCCTCAACGTCTCTCTCTTATGGATCACGTTCGTTTACACGCTCCTCGCCCGTAACATCAAACCACGTCAAATTTAACAAAAAATATCTCTGCGCACTACTGCCATGTCAGAGAACGAGAGAGACAGACAGACAGAGAGAGAGAGAGAGAGAGAGAGAGAGAGAGAGAGGGGGGAAAAGATGGAGCAAGACACCGTACGTTGGCGAGAAGGAGGGGGGGAATGAATCAGCTGAGTGACAGCGTAGGTGCTTCCTCTCTAGACTCTAACCCCTTTAGTTTTCGCGTCGTTCGAGTATATGATGTGCGCGCGACGGGTGCCTCACCGTTTCGCAGCGACGACGACGACGACGAAGCGACGTCTCGTCGGCGCCCGTCGTGTGCCGCAAACGTCACCGGCCGCCGGAGCACCACGCCGCCGGCTCGATCGCGGCCGCGCCGAAACGCCGTAGAGTCACGCACACGCACCTCGCCGCGGGTATGCTAATTTGACATTTCGCGATATTTTGCACGGCCATCGGAAAACCGGAAGGTCGCGACTCCCCTCCCTGTAGCTACCGCAGGGCGAAGGGGAAGGGTGAGGGGGGGAGGGGGGAAAGAAGCCCGCTGGCGGAGTCAGTGCCGCCAAGGTGCGGGCGAGAAAAATATCTTCGCGGGCGCGACGCCGGGACGCGAGAGAGCCGCGGGCGACGGACGGGGTCCCCGCGCGCGCCTCGTCGCGTCGCTCCGCGCTCGGGAGCGAGGAATCGGGCCGTTCTCCGCGCGGGGAGAGCTGAACGCTCGCCGGGGATCGCGTCGCCCGACGCCCGACGGCCGACCGGGCCGACCTAGGGCCTTCCGTCGCCGCCACGCGCTCACGTTGGCCGACGTTGCGCGGGCGGCGTGGGAGGGGTAGACTTCCGGTCTAATGGCGTCAGGAGCCAAGCACTGTTGTCACATTTTGCCCTACAGTGTTTCAATATTTCGCTTTGTTTATGTCGCCCGCGGCCCGCGGGACGAGGACGAGCAGCCCGGCCGGGCGCGCGAATTACGCTAAACGGAGGTGAGAGCGAGCGTATTTTTCCGCGCGCGGACGCGTATTCAAGGCGCGGCTCCGTGATTTTCCGTGCGGTCCGGGTGCAGTGACCTTGGGTCCCCGCTGTCAGTGTCCAAGTGCCCCACCGCCGCCAAATTCAAACTCCGTCGGCGCACCCGGCGGGGGCTCTATTTTTGGGCCGCCCGTGGACTGACTTTATTTGTGAAGTTTTTTTCCTCTCTTATTTTGACATTGCCTCGTTCGGAAAGCGCTAAAAAAAAAACGTATTATCTGTGTCGTTAGAACTTGGTGTCTGATAAGAAGGGATATTGTCTAATCTCATTAATCACGATGGATTAAGTACCTCGTTAATCGCAACGATCTTAATGCTAACGAGAATCTTCTTGGTAAAGAAAGAATGAAAGATGTTGTACCGTATGCATAAAAAATAGAATATAAATTTTCTTGTCAACTTAAATAAAAGTCACTATTATTACATATATTTAGAATACACAGAAGTGATACTTTGTCACGCGACGATGAAAAGCTTAATGAATAAGTTAATCATTTTATGTAAATTTTTTTCATTATTGTTAAAGGGTTAAGTGTTGGCTATTGTTTTGAAAATGATATCTATATTATGTGTATAAAATGCTATTTGTTTCACACTCATCTTTCTTTATGATTCACAGATTTGGCATGTATAGATAGGTGAAAGGTTGCGAAAGACTGTTACTAGTCGTTGTATCCAGAATACTCAGTTATGGAAGTTACAACGGAGGAGGCTCAGGCGGTGCTTCTGGAGGGCATGGAGGGTGCTCAGTACATCGCCATCCAGAGGGCCGACGGCGAGTCGTTGAGCAAGGCGGTGCCGCTGATACTGAGCAGCGATTTGATCTCGGAGGGCATGGTCGTGGACATGATCAACGCCGGCGTCGGCACGGACTACGGCGCGGGCGCGCAATACTACGAGACGGACGACCTGCTGACGTCCACGTTAAACAATTCGCACGAATTGACAGAGGTTGTAATATGTTACTTAATGTCCGTACAGCCAGTATATTTATACCTTGCATGTAGAATGTGAACTGTGTGATGCAGGAGGACCGCAGACTCGCCGCGGCCCTGGTCGCGGTGCAGCTGCATCAGCAGCAGAAGCAGCAGCAGCAGCTCCACATCCAGTCGCAGCACGACGACCCGACGCTACCGGACGTTTCGCACCTCGAGACCCTGGCGCCGGTGAACTCGTACGCCATTCAAGCGGTGCCGGAACCGAACGCCGCCCCGTCCGTGTACCCACCGCTGCAACCCTTCAAGAGGATCACGCAGAACGTGAAGCAGGAGTTTATCAACGTCAAAAGTGAATACGACGTTGAGGTCTCCACGGAGAGCAGTGAGGACGCCGCGTCGGCATCCGGACCCAAGCGAACGCTGCCGCACAAGAAGAGGATACCTCGTAAGCTGAAGCAGCAGCAGAACGCGAAGAAGAACGCGGCGCGGAAAGACAGTAGTAAATCGAGTCAGGAGAATGCGGCGATCGAGTCGACTAGCGAAGCCCAGGCTAACGTCTTCAAGTGTGAATTGTGTAGTTCTGAATTTAGCATTCAGTTGAAATTCTTCGAACACTTAAAGGTACATATTCATATCATAGAGAGCAACGAAGACTCTTCTAACGTATCTTTAAAATAAAAAATAATTTAACAATTTTAGAGAGCAACGAAGACTCTTCTAACGCATCTTTAAAATAAAAAATAATTCAACAGTTTTAGAAGGTAGTAAAGAAACTTTATTTTAGTTCGTAAATTGACCTTTCTTTACTACCTTCTATTTTAGAAGAAATGAGCGATTGCATAGATTTAATTTGAATAATTTTCTAACAGGCGTATTATGAACCGGTAAAGCGTATTTTTAAAATAAAAAATAATTTAGCAATTTTAGAGAGCAACGAAGACTCTTCTAACGTATCTTTAAAATAAAAAATAATTCAACAGTTTTAGAAGGTAGTAAAGAAACTTTATTTTAGTTCGTAAAATTGGCCTTTCTTTACTACCTTTTATTTCAGAAGAAATAAGCGATTGCGAAGATTCAATTTGAATAATTTTCTAACAGGCGCACTATGAACCGGTAAAACAGGAGACGCGAATAGCTCAAGCGACAAATACTAATATCTCGATATCAGTGCCGGAAACAGTACACAGAACAGTACTAGAGAATACCGTGATTGAGGAATTCAGTGAACCTGAAGATCTCATGGAGGGTATTCGAAACGTAGGTAAGAGAGAGAAAACGGTTTTGATATTAATATTTTTAAGGATTTTATGATATTAACAATTACTACGAACTCATTGGTTTTTGTCGTCTGTAGTGGAAGAAACCGGCGCGCGTATCGACGACGATACGGATTCTCCGCTACCCACTGCGAACAACGAATCGACCATGTGGACCATCAACGTGACCGGCGTCACGGAAGAGGTGCAACAGAGGGACCAACAAATAAGACCACCGACCATAAGCGAGAGCAAAAGCCCCGACGAGAAAGCAAAGACTGACATTCCACAGACGGCCAAAAAAAAGAAATCGCCGAAAACACGAAAGTCAAGTTCGTATAATTCTTTCTTCCTCCCCAGATCGGAAGAGCAC